CGCCAATAGCCGAAAGTCTAGACACGTGCTCCGCTGTTTTCTGTACAGCTAAATGGCACAAATGCAGGAAATTCAGCTCATCAGTAGGTCCCCCAGCGTCCCCTTGTGTGCCGTCCGGCACATGTTTCAGATCTTAATTTTTATCTTTTTAAATTACCTCTAAAGTGAATGTTTGCATTTGGAGTAAATATTTTTCAAAAAGCCTCCCCAGACTCCGTCCAAAACTTTTCAAAAGAAATCAAAACCACTCACAAGGCGAGTCTGCTTGCCCATTACCGACCGATGGTAGGTTTCTCTGGCGACTGAAACACCTTGAATCGCAGTTGGCGCTGTCTCGCATCAGCCCAGTGACAGCGCAGAATACTGTCTATCCTCTTTTTCGTAAACGCCATCCTGGTCGTAAATTGTCTGTTGTCTGCATGCCAGCCCGCCACTGTTTTAAGAATCATGTAGCGACCACTACCAATTCGTAATTAGGTTTGGATTGTTACTTCCACACCCAGCTCTGGAAGTAAAAGACTATTTTCCAATTCTCTGGGCAACACCCTTTGGGTTCACGTTTAAAAGAATGTCCCTACTAGTCCTTTCAAATTTGGAGATAATTATAGCTTGTGCAAGCAGATGATGGACTTAGACAGCGTAGGAAACACTTATGTAAAGTGTCGAAAAATATAGAAATACGGCAAATTCGGAAGTTAACTTTTCAAGCACACTCACGCCTTGATAAGCGCAGGTCTACAGTGATATTTGAGTTGCATCTGGGGTAATCAGGACCGAGCAAATGAGGAGATGGACTGCCAATTACGTAATGAGCTTAACTGCGCTCATTTTGTCCGACTACTAATCCACCACTTTCGTCCAACGTTCATCTTCTGTTTTTAAGGAAGGTGGCCCATTCACTTCAAATGCAAGTATTAATTTCCATTTTAGAAAAATCCTCTGGTTTTCCTCTAACAGAAAAAAGCTCGATAGACAAAAATGCGATTGTTTTTGAATAAACTCAAATCTGATGAGGAAGACAAGCCCCGCCTGCACATTTGCATTCCACGCTTGGTATTCAGTCACGTCCACACTAACAACCGACTCCACAGCATTCTTGAAGGGTCAGGCGTACCTTTGGATACAGAGCGACGATATCCTGCCATCCCAACTGTGTACCCTGGCAAAAGACTTTATGCAAAGGCTTCCGTTCAGCACCTGCACCCGACTCCCAAATCCTTGCCCAAAGATTGCCTTTCGTGTCGCAAGACCCTGTTGGCGGCATGAACTTTTACCCCTTACTGCCGCAGACTGCTTGAACAGAAACTTTCAGTCCTGGCTGCCATGTGAAAACAATGGGATTCAGAAGTAAGCACATATCGGGAGCGAGGGGTGAAGCCGCAGTTGTTTATGGCTGAACTAGTCTATCATCAACCACTCGTATCCCAGATTAACGCCCTCCAGTGGACCGAATTCGATGAACAGGTAACATTAGAACGGCGGGTTAGTGGCACCGTAGCACGCGGGTTCCATCAAAAAGTCCCGTCACTCAGTCTTTGCCTGACAATGTCGCGTACTTGCAAGACCACCTTAGATAGTGTTTGGTTGATCACATTATGTCTAGTAGGTGACTGCCTACCACCAAAGGACGAAAGTAGTGGGATTAGAGACGTCAGGCATCCTAGCGTATGTCACTTCGGTGTGACTTTTTGAAATTCACGAAAATCAATCATGGAAATTTTAGCAGTCAACAGGTTAACACATCAACAAATCAAAAAGGGTTATTTTGAAGTTGGATGATGAAGGCGTAGCAGACAGAAAAGAGTAAGATGGAAATCATTGCATTTCTCAACTTCGCATTATCAAAGTCTTTCGCTGGGTCAGTTGTTATACTGCAGTTTATCAAAATGGGAGAGATCCCTTTCAGCAAAATATCACAGCAGTTACCGTCTAAAATATGGAAGTTGCGTCAGTCCAACAGCATTTCGTCCTTTAATTCCACAGTTTGGTGTCTCCCCCAAACACGAAAGACATGCTGGGGCGCTGTTAAAAGCCAAAAGCGCGTGAATCATTGCGAATTTACGGCGAAAGACCTGCTGCTAGTGCAAAAAATCGCATGGCTAGTTCAAAGGGAGAAGGAAAAATTATGGCAGAGCTGAAAGTGCACGAGAGTTAGCAAGTCATGGCAAATTGTTGGGGAAAAAGTAAGACGTCATTGCAGGAGATTTGCAGGAAGCGATGATTTACTGAAGGGCTTAGCGTCGCTTTGATGAAAATCTTTCCGGAAGTACACATGCAGCCCTGTCTTTCAGATAACCGTATAAGTAAGTAAGCATGCAATGGCCAATCACGAGCAGCTGGCTTGTGCATTTTCAGTCTAACGCATCAGGCACTGGAGTTCAAAAGTGAACGAATTAAAGAAGTTCCCTTCAAAAGAGGACCGCGTCCTCTTTGTTGCGGGCGCGATAGGAGCAATGATATTAGATACGAAAATTCAGACTGTAATCATTTAGAATGGAATGACCCTCAAAAGCCACTTTAAAAGATAGGAACAGCGGCCGCCATTAGGCTACGAAAGCCCATCTTATGCGCACAGAAAAACCACGCTCAGGGTCCGCGCATACTGTGGTCGAAGGTCGATTAACGCTGCAACTCTCCGCGCCCTCCCGCTCGCATCCCGCCCCTGACACTGACAGCTATTACCCCCCCCCGCACTTCCCCTTCCCCACATTTCCACACCCCGCTTGTGTTTTAAGGAGACCTTTTATCGATTTCTCTCATCGCTGATATGTTTTACTTCTACCCTATTCCCATATAAGTAACTGTGTTGGTCCGACGAGAATTTATCGAAAGCTACGTAAGCTCGACACCTCGTATTCTGATTACTGCTTCTGGAATTTTCGCAACTCTAACATAAGCCTCCATTTGAAAGTCAGAATGGATATGAACACAGACATAGGGGAACTGAATGGACATAGGCATGCTCCCCGGCTCCAGTCCTTGCCAAGGAATCAACTGAAGATCATTTTTCTACAAAAACCACTGCTGGAGATAAGGCACCCAAATCTTTGTCACATACGAAACGTCGTCTGAACGAAAATCGCATCAAGATTAGTCAATCCCGAAAAAGCCTATATGCAGTCCTATAATAATTTACATGTATTATTAGCTACAATCATGCGGTTTTCAGTTCCCTTTTTACTCGCATATATGTGGCGAAATAAAATGATAGACAGAATAGAATCTTTTAGTAAGTCGACGCGTTCAATTCCTGAAAATAAAATCCCTACGGAGAAGACTGAGTGCTGAAACAATACAGAATTGGTGAAGCGTCATGCCGCTCACTGAATTCAAATCATGTATGGTATTTAGGACAATCGGCGAATATTCACGTGTCAATGACCAAAGTACTAAAAACAACGGTCGGATGTAGTGAATTTTGCGCAAAACTGATGACTGTTAAATATAATGCTTAAAAACACATCACCGTTAGGTCGCTATCCCTTACGAGGTAGACAAGACACCCAATAGACAGCAAGCAGAATGTACAAACAGGTGGAGAAGCCGCAAAAACAGAGTTTATGTGACGCCTTTGACTTTGTGGTATCTGATATGGACAACAGAGTAGCATGAATATTTGTTATTGTGTTTACTCGTTATCCGCGATCGTCATATTTAGAAGAAACGTTATTTTACCTTTGTGACTTCATCCTACGAGGTAGGTTCTGCATATGCATACCGGCTGGTAGATACAAAAAACCAGTCTCACTTTGCATGTCAAAATTTTAACGCGTCATCCACATTTAGGCCTATGAAAAAGCAATGCCACAACGGACAAACATTTAAAACATTACCCATGCCTCCGGTAGTAGAGCCTTTAAGCATGAACGTACACTGACAAACTACACTATCACGTCCGTTATGTAGAGAATACAGTCGACACAATCGCCGACAGGGCTGACCTTATTACTCCGTCTCAAACAACCAGTCGCTTAAGTCCTGCGGTACCAGTGACGACCGAAAATAACAATTAATGTCACTCATAAATGCATTTGAAATTAATTTCAGAAGAGACAGTGGCGAGTGAACGTTCCTTTCGGTAAATTCTCATCAGGCCAATACAGTTACATAGGGCGGGGTACAGTGAGTGAAACAAAAATCGATAAAAGTTAGGTTTTAAATTACAGGCTCGGCAAGAGCGGAAGGGCGCCGAAAGTTGTATGTGGTTATTAAACCTTTGACCACGGTAAGCGCGGAGCCTGAACAAGGTTCTTTTGGGCGCATAGGGTCGGTTTTCGTAACCTTATGGCGGCCGCTTCTGCTGTTGCTAACAGGCGCTGGCCCAGTAGCTTAGGGTAGCTAGAGGGGACCTTGTAAATCACACGAAATGCTTCAGTGGGGTCCACACGATGCCCTGAGTCCACTGCATGCGCAAGGATGGCGCTGTCTATTCTCTTAGTTTCACCCTTTGCCAGCCATGCGGGAAGGTGCTCTCTTATTCTTTTGGAAAGGCGCCGACTCGTACGACCAATATAACCTGCTCCACAGGAGCAAGTGAATGAGTAGATGCACATTGAGGCGGTCTGAGGTGGCAGCCTATCCTTGATTTCTCCGCGTAGAATAGGGTTAGTGGAGAATGATATGCGAACCCTTGCTGCTGGGAAGGTTCCCGAGACAGCTTGGTCAAGGCGTCTTCTTAGGAGTTCACCTGCAGCGTCTCCTTGGAAGGGGACTTTGAGGAACAACGTT